TCCCTCCCTCCTTCCTTCCTTGTTTTTTTGAGACAGGGTTTCTCTGGCTGTCCTGGAACTCACTTTGTAGATTGGTCTGGCCTTGACCTCACAGAGATCCTCCTGCCTCTACCTTCTCAGTGCTGAGATTAAAGGCATGCACCACCACTGCCTGGTTCAAGTTGCATCTTATCACAGCGAGGAAAGTAATTGTACAGTCCCCTTCCCTGCCTTTATTTTGGGTGTTTAGTGCCTTCTGTGAGACCCTGGCAGGCTGGTCCAGCCCCTGTTTTGGGGTCTAATTTGGCTGTTCTGACATTCATGGTATTTCTGCGTCATCCAAGTGAAGGTCCATCACAATGTACTCGCTCTGGGTGTCTGGAGGTTATTGTCTGGTGGTATTTCTGTGGTCCTGGTTGGTCTCTTTCCTGGACCCCTCAACTGGCTATCAGCTCAGCCTCTCTGTCAGATTCTTATGTGAGGTCCACAGGAACCTGGAACCATATTTGCCTTCTCTGTGGACTGTGGACTCAGTGCGCATATTTGATATTTAAAAGACTTTCATTGGTCTGAGAATGTATCTCAGTGGTGGAAAGCTCACCTGGAATGTGCAAGGCCCTAGATTTGATCTCCAGCATTAAAAGAAAAAAAAAATGATGGTAAATACTCCTGGCTCAGGTCAGACTAGGTTTGAATCTTTCCATTCACTTTGTTCCTTCTCTTATTCATTCTTTCTTTGTTTACATTTACTTATTGAGTGGTGTGTACATCCATGTGGAGGCTGGAGGACCACTTGTGGGAGATGGTTCTCTCCTTCTGTCATGTGGGGCCCAGGGACCGAACTCAGGTTGTCAGGGTTGACAGCAAGCATCTTTACTCCCCCCACCCCCCAGTCCTCCAGCTAGCTCAATGAATTCTAACTGCATGTTGGGGAGGTTCCCTTACATTGCTCTCCACCATTTCTCTCAACTTTCTTCCTGTACCAAGATCAAACCTGGGGCCTTGCGTAAGTAGGGCAAACAAACATTCTACCCTTCAGCTCACGCCAGTCTTTGAGGGTTTTCTCTGCCAGCGCCTGCACCTGGCTGTCTTGAGCTCTGTGGGGCAACGGCAGGGCCCTTTCTGAAGAACTCTGTGGGCCTCTCCCTGCAGGTGTTTGGACCGTTGAAGCTGTTTCCTGCCTCCTGCAACTGTGCTGCTCTTGGCTCTGAACTCTACCTTGTATGGTCCTCTCTTGGCTTGAGGCCATCTTCTGAGTATATTCCTTTGCTGACACTGTGCCTACTTCTGGCTTGGGGCCATTGCCACCCCTGATAACACACCCAGCTGGATCTGAAGGCCAAGGATGGTGGCCCTGTGCTTGCCAGCATTCTTGGGGTGCCAGTGAGGTCCCACCTTTGGCCAGGCAGGGTCAGGAGCTTCACAGAGAGTAGACATCATCCAAGGGCCCTTGGCTCCTGAAGAGTTATGCTTCCTTCTCTCTTCCTCTTCCTCCCCTCCTCTCTCCTTTGCTCTCTCATTGAGGCAGGGTATTTCAATATAGCCTTGGCTGGTTGGCCTTGAACTCACAGAGATCCACCTGCCTCTGCCTCCTGAGTGTTGGGATTAAAGTGTGCCACCATATCTGGCCTACCTGTGTATGTTTTGAAACAGGCTTTGCAAAATAATATACGTCAAACTGTCTGAACTCCTTGCTGCATATTCCTCTTTGGGCCTGGCCTTAGGCTACCTGGAATGGTGCCAGTGGAGGGCTGCCTCAGGGTCAGGTAGGACCTCTCCTGGCCATCACTGCAACCTGGTTGGGTTTTGGGCTGCACACATTTGTGGAACCATCTAGGAATTTTAATCAGGCAACTGATAAAATCAGGCCTGCTCCACAGGAACCATTTAGAGGTTCGTTTAGACCTTCAGACCCTGCTGCCCATTGGAAACAGGCGGTGACATCATTGGTCATGGCAGTGACATCGTTGCATCGTTGGACGTGTTTTCCATCTTCTTGTCACGTGACCTGGGAGATGGACAGGTGGACTTTGGCAAATGAATCTAGTCGACAGCTTTTGGGGGAAAGCATGTGCCCCTGGAAACCAAGCCTGGAGACCCATGTGCTCGCTGTCACCGGAACTAACTGAGATGTTGACTATTATTTTGTTTCTCACTAAGTGACTAGATGAAAGAACACTGGTTTAGAGAAGAAAGAAGCCATGGCAGAGGGTAAGGAGCGGTGCTTTCGGGGAGTGTTAATTCAAAATGAAACCATGCGCAGAGACTCACAGCTGCTCCTCCCGAACTGCGGCGCGGCGTTTGTCCAGAGAAAGGAGAATGGCTGATGCCCAGCGAGGTAGTTCCGGAATTCCCTGCCCAGCTGGGTTTGCAGTTGGTTTTGCTGTGTGTGTTTTATCTTCTGCAGCCCCCAGCCACACGCAGCCATCTGTGTTAGTGGTTTCCTGGACGGACTGATGACTGGCAGGGGGTACACTGTGGGGACAATCGTGGCTGTCAGGAAGGGAAAGTCACCCCTAGACTCTTGGAGCTGCTGTGGTAGTGTAACTGACTCTGATGGTCATTTATAATTAACTTGGCTCCAGATCTTTAGAGATTTTTGGAGAGTAGGGTCTGAACCCCCTGGAAATGGGATGGGAGCTCGCCAAAGACTGGTATTCATTTTGGGATGTGCCATTCAGAGACAGGTAGATTTGACTGAGTTGTCATAGTTTTTCTTTTGTGTCAGAGGACTTGTGGGTCTAAGGAAGCCTCAGCACGCACAAAGAGGCCAAGACCAGCCAGACAACCCAGGTTTGTTTGGAGACAACGGCATGATGATGGGGCTATAGGAAGAGAAGGCAGAACGGAAAGCCGTCTGAAGCTGAAATGTCCCCACAGGCTCAGGTTTTGAAGATTTGTTCCTTAGTTGGCACTGGGGCCTGGCTGGTGGAAGTGGGACAGGGCAGTACACCTTTAAGATTGTACATGATCCCTGGTTATCGCCCTACTCTCTCTGTTCCTCAGTTCACCATGTTGTGAACAGTCACACATTCCGGCTGCCTTGAACTGAGATCTCTACCATAGTTTAACCTCAGTGGGTTAAATAAACTCTCTAAAATCGTGAACCAAAACAAATCTTTCCTAAGTCTTTAAAAAAATGTTTATATAGCTGGGCAGTGGTAGTGCATGCCTTTAATCCCAGGACTCAGGAGGCAGAGGCAGGTGGGTCTGAGTTCAAGG